TTGGAACAGTTGAAAGTAAAAAAGGAGGAGGATGAGCAGCAACAAGATGGATAGAGACAATCAGAGGAATCATGAAAAACCCTGAAGACCCATTAAAATCACTCCACAATTATTACCGTCAGACTGTAAAAACTACACACACTGCAGATTCATACTGGATTATAATTACTTCACAGTTATTACCATTAGACTGCATAAACAACACACACTGCAGATTCATACTGGATTAAAATCGCTCCACAATTTTTATCATCAGACTGTAAAACTACACACTGCAGATTCATACTGGATTAAAATCACAGATCTTATCTAAATTCTTTTAAATTGTCATGTTGTTGATCCTTGTGAATACTGTGCTATTTTTTTCCATATTGCTGAAAATCGCATGATTGTGTGTATAATATTGTTACCATCACCGCATATTTTGCATAATATCATTTAAATATTAAGGCCTGATTAATATTGGCACACTTCCTACAAACTACTTCCCCTTTTTCTTTCTTTCTTCTATCAGGTGATGTCTCTATGGCCATAGAGACCCTGCTTACAGCCATTGCAGTGATTAAGCAGTCTCGAGTGTACAGTGATGAGCGCTGCAGAGCACTGGTCGAGTCTCTGAAAGACTGTCTCTACTCAATAGAGAGCAAGTCATACGGCTCAAGGTATGTGTTTTATGTGCTTCAGGTTGTTGTTTCCAAACCTGGTCCTTGGGACCAACTAGAGGGTCCATGTTTTTGTTCCAGCCCAACACGCAGGGATGGAGGAAAACCACTGTGTGAACCACTGCATTAGGCAATCTATTCATGCGTTCGCTAAAAATAACATTATCCAGCAGCGCAGTAATGCTGTAACTGGGTTGTCATGCTAACTTGATCAAACATTTTTGTTTGATAAATAAATCAGTATTGATTAGTTAACATGATGAGCCTGATGGACAGACTCATTTATATTCATTTTGTGTCACATAGTGTTTGTATTCATAACTGCTGCTATAATGGATTCATCAGTTACTTATCTTTTCATCAACTAATCGAAACACTATGCCTTCTGTTGCCAAAAGTTCAATCTGTGAAAGACGTGATTTTTATTTATTAATTTTTTTAACTGTGCAATAAAATAACCTGTCGGAATGACTGTGTGGATCATTTGAACATTATAGAGCGCTTTTTAAATGAAACAGTAGAAGTCATCGCCCCCTACACTTCCTGTAGTGTATTACAGTCTGTCAGAATGACTCTGTGGATCATATGAACATTATAGAGCATTATAGATTTGTTGTGGTACGAAGTGCCTTACCAGTATCCCATCATCATTATAATATTAATGTCATTTCTTTTCCTTCTCCCTCTTAAGGAAAAGGCACCGGTCTCGAGAGCGAGACAGGGAGCGTGTCAGGAGTCGAGAGAGGGAGAGAGACCGGGACAGAGACAGAGAGAGTTCGTACGGCCAGGGCTGGCCAGACGGCGGACCATCCAGGAGACACCATGAGCGCTCGTCCAGCATGGAGAGAGAGAGGGACAGGGGGCGAGAGCGCCATAGAGAGCACAGAGAGAGACACCGTTAGGTGAGCTGCTCACACTCTTTACTGATGTTTCACAACACACTCTATGCCCCAATCCCATTTCTTATTTTTACCCCTACCCCTTGTTTTTGAGTGTCACCTTGCCTCTTAAAACTGAGTTACAATGGGTAGTGGTTGAAATCTTCCTCTATGAAATGGGACCCTCAAATAAAAAGAGCATTACTTCATTAACAGGGTACTAGCGCTGCTCTGTAGGCAACCCTGCCAGTCTGCAGTAATAGCAGAGGAGGGTAAAGTTCAGCAGCCTCACTGCTGGGCTTAAATTACATTTAGGGAATTGGATACCTTCAAAGAGGATAATGATTCTCCGGTGATATGAAGCTGAAGTCAGATATTCACCAGCTTCTTGTTTGAATTTTCCAGTTCCACCTTAAATGGAGCAGCAGTTACATTCTGGCGCTTCAGGCGTCAGAACTGCTGGACCATTTAAGGTGGAACGGGAAAGTTAGCTAGCTAGTTTTCGAGACATCAGCATACTATTAACGATTTTTTATGCTTCTTATGAAGAAAAGGACCATGATACATTGAAACAGCATTTAACTAAGATAATACAATGGTTATTGTAATTTGTAACTGAGAAAATTCTCACATTTTTGGGTTTCTTTGGTCGCTTGCTGGTTTTTCTTTTTTTTCTCTTAACACTCTGTTTGGAGTGTGCCTCTGAAAAACCTCCGTTACGAGGGTCATGTAGCCCTAACACGTTGCCCTACCCCTCTATCTCGACAAAAATCAGGCCACCTACTCCTAGACGTGAATGTGCAAAAAAGGAGGGGTAGGGCTAAGTGGTAGGGGTAAAGGGTGAAATGGGATTGGGCCATAGCATTTACATTTATGTATTTACAAATTAACGACAATATAGCACATAGGAATATCTTATATAAATAGTACAAATAGTATATAGTCATTCACCCCCGGTCAAATGTTTTGGTAAATTCTCTAAGTCAAAAAAGGAACAAACCTAAATATGGTCTTTTTCTGCAAATTTTAGTCCACAATTTATTTGCTGAGTTTAACATACTGGAAAAAATGAAACATTCAATATAAAGTGTTTGTCTTATTTTTTTCCCCCGATATGTTAAATTCAGCAAATAAATAATAATTGTGCATTAAAATGTGAAGAAGTGTGTCTCTGTAGAGCATGTTTTTACTAATTTACACCAACTGAACCTGGAATTTGACCTGGAGGTGTTCAGACTTTTCCATATGACTCCGTATACGTATTTTTTCCTCTCCTCACTTTCATCTTATGTTTACTGAGATTGACTTTACTCTGTATTCTTTCCAGAATGTTGATTCAGTCCAGGGCTTGAAAGGCAGGAGTGGGAGTGTGCATACAGCTGTAGGAGCGCCTACAGCAACAGAGGACCAGAAAGAAAAACCAACCCCAAAATTCATTCACATCACACGCTGAACGCCAGCACTGTTAGCATTCATAACGTCTTAGCCACATCTTCATCTTCAGCACAGTTTGTAAAGCTCCATCCTCTTCACTGTGTAAATGGTACTGTATAGAAATTCTACTTTTTAGTTGGAAATGTACATTTTCAGTGGCTGCTGACTGTTTGGTCATTGTGGTACCGCCTTGGTTTATTTTGTTTTTAACACGGTTAAAAGGTCATGCATCCTTTTTTTCACCACCATTGTACATTTTTTGTAATGAAATGATACTGTACAATATTAAAAAAGTGGATTCAGATGTTAGAGGTGTATTATTTAAGGATCTTGAAGAAGGATCTTGATCTTTATCATTTTATACAGTTGAGATATTATCTGAATTTTAGTTGTAGGTGATATGCAGGTATGTCAGTATACTGCTTTTTAATATTCAATCAGTTTATCGATACTTTTTTGCAATATTTTTGATAGATTAATTAGAATCATATCCATAAAATCCTCATATTTTTACTATTAAGTGATACCAAGGAGATTCCGACTCCTGGCGACCATATGGATGTTTTTTCCAGAATGTTCTGTCTTCGCCATCCGAGGTTCTCTCAAAAGTTTTCACCAACACCAAAGCTGGCATCAATATTTTTCCTACCTCGCTTGTTTATCGTCCAGCTTTTACATCCATGAAGAACCACAGAGACAACTACAGCATGGAAGATTCTAATCTTTGTTTGTAGAAACAATTTATTGCATTTGAAGATGTTTTTGTGTTCCTTTATTCTTGCCGTCGCATTTCTTGACTGCTGGATCCTCTGTTGTTAATAATTGATCCGAGTTGGCAAAAGCTGCCCCTCGTTTCCACATCTTCTCCATCAGTGGTGAAGATGGTGGTGTTTCCTGTTGTCACAACCTCAGTCTTCTTCATACTGAATACAAAATACTTTTGGAGCGACACTGAAACCAAATACATTCTCGACGAAATGAAGGATTTAAATATTCTTCAGCTTCTAGATGATGCATGTTCCTATTTTCAGGTTAAGTGGTGCAATGTTTTGTTTTTTTCAAGCTGCAGCATGAAGTTTGAATTTTACATTACGTTTACGTCACGTCTTCTTCTGTGTGTTTATTGGCTGGTTGCAAAGCAGAAATCTGATTACTCTCTGACTCGTGTAAACCTGAAGTTTTCCATTATCTGATTACTCAAGTGCATGTAAACACGGTGACTGACAAAATCTGATTTTCTGCAGTTATCGGATTATTAAGTGGATGTAAACACACTCACTGTTGCTGGTTTGTTTTTTAAATGTATTTTACTGGCGTGTCCAGGACCTGACAGTCAACTATAGTGGGTGCCTCAGATTGCTTTCAAAGAACAGTGGTTTAAAACTGTACAAACTAGATAAACATTAAGCTTCCTTGCTGTAAACATACTTTACACAGTAAACATCAGACAAGAGATAAAAGTTCCCCGTTGGTGCCAATTTAGGAGAAATAAAACAGTCCAATCAGAAGCTCTGTCAGCCTTCTGGACATTCTTTTAGCAGCACTCAGCAAAAACACGCTCAACTTTTATTAATGCTGACTGAAATTTAGTTTAATAATAATAATGTGATGTAGGTAGGAAATTTTAGCTCCGTGAACTGTAAAAAATCTGGAGGGCAGCCATCCTAAGATTTATTCAATAAAGTCACTGACTGTGAGTCAGCATCAAAGCCCAGGGTTAAACTAATCTAAGCTATATCTCTCAGATGCTGACTCAGCTCAAAAACCTTGTAGCTCCATTTTATTCCTATTTAATTATTCATTTAAATCATTTGATGCATTGTCTGAACATTTCTTGACAAATGGACCAAAATTATTTTGGTGGGAAAAGACTGTTACATTAACTCGCATCATGTGTACCCCATGTGTACAGTTACCATTTTGTTTTTCTTTATCTTCACATCCTCATCTTTTTCCCCTTGATGTTTGCATTTTTGCAAGAGGAATATTTGACCAAGAGAGCTCATGTTCAGAAAATAATCATATACTCGATGCTTTTACTACTTTATTTAGAAAATATCAAACCATTGCAAGCTATAAACCCTGCGTATGAAGGAGGTCTTCCCTAAACATGCAGGTCTGGTGCCAGCATACAAACTCAATACACTTAGCCAACGTATACACAGGGGTTTGTGGGCAGCTTATGAAAGAAAAACAGTTTATTCCAGTTCATCAAGTCTATTTCTCCAGCGGTGCATAGTTCAGTAACTTCTCAATGAGATCGACGTGAGACAGCAGCATCCTCCTGCAGCAGTACCGCTTCAGCCCGAGAGCGTCCAACGCATCACTGAGTGATGAACACAGAGAGAAATTACACTTCAGTCAAGTCAGAGTTGTCACTGTTGATTATATCAGTAACCAATCATCAGCCAGCTTTCCCAGACACAGATCAAGCCTACACTCCAAAAAAGATGGTTCTTCAAGGGTTCTTTAGTAAAGACAAGGGTTCTATATAGAACCATGAACGCTTAAAACCCTTTGCATGCTTAAAGTGTTCTTTGCATTGTGAAACTTCTCCTCAGATTGATGGAGAATGTGTTGTATGGTCCTATATAGCACCTTTTTGAAAAGGGTTCTTCTATTGTTACAAGCTTGATATCGTCACACCAGAACAACCCATTTCAAAAAGGTTCTATATACAGCCATACAACACAATCTCCATCAATCGTAAGAGCCACTTCACTATGCAAAGAACCACTGTCTTCACTAAAGAACCATTAAGAGTGTGGTCTTACACTTGTACTGATAATGGTAAAAAGAGGTGGGGGGATTTGGAAGAATGGAATATCATGATACTTTAAGAACTTTTCATGATACATGTTACGTTAGATATTTTTTGACATCTGATAAACTGGAAAAGACAAAGTAGTGCCACATTTAGAAAATACTATTAAAGTCTATGATAAAAGATTTATTTTCAACATTTAACACCCTGCGCTACAATAAATTCAATTAAACATAACTAATTTGCTTTCTTTGTAATCAAATATGAAGCTGGGAAGTGTTCAAGTACTATTGATATCCTCGAGAAGCTCCAAGAAGAATATTGTGATGTAATTTATCATGATAATGATAATATTGTCATACTGTCCAGCTCCATTTAGGCCAGGGGTGTCCAATCTTCTCCACAAAGGGCCGGTGTGGCTGCAGGTTTTCACTCAAAATGAGCTGAATCACACCTGATTCCAGTGGTTTAATCAGTTCCTCTTAGGCGTCAAGCATTTGATAATGTGATCTCCTTCTTTGTTGGAATGAAAACCTGCAGCCATACCAGCCCTTTGCGGATAAGATTGGATATCCCTGACTTAGGCGTAATCTGGTTCTGGGAAACCAGCCTGAGGATTTTTAAAAAGCAGGCAAAACAATAAAAATGGACCTAAATGAGCATTAATAAATCATTCATAGACTCCAAAATGCTTTACTAGACAAAGCCTTAAAAAAAAAGACATTAGTTTACAAAAAAGATAAATATAAGTTTCCATTAGGCTCAGTTTCTTACTGTAACAGAAAGCAGTAGGAGCATTGTCATCATGCAAATGACCTACTAATCACTGCAGATACACTGAAAAGTTTTTATCAGTTTATTTAATGTTTAATCAAATTTAACAAAACAACCATGATAGCCCATTTAATCTCAGGTCTAGATCTGTGCTAAAGTGTATGCACTCTTACCCCTCTGTGTACTCCGCCTGAAGGAGCCCTAAATAAGCCTCCCACTTGTTGCCCACAATCTTCCCGCAGGTGAAACAGCGCACTGGGATAATCATCCTGAAGAGAATATCTAGAAAGCAGCTGAAAGCAGAAACAAGCTGATTAGAAACATGCTTTTCATGTGTTTTCTGCTGTGTTTCAGCAGCTTCTGAAGCACCATATATATACACATACACACACACACATACGATAGATAGTAGTACTAACTAACTTCAGTATTTTTAAAACTATTTCATGTAACAACTTTTAGAGGTGGATGTCTGGTTCCTATCACCACCACTGTGAACAATTCTGGATCGGCAAGTTTCTCTAAAACAGAGCGTTTCACACCAAACCATTCTAAATGACTTTGTTCACATCTTAACTGATTAATGACGCATTTTCGGACATTCGACAAAGAATATATTTTGATATACATCGCGTTACGCAGTTTAAACAAATGATTACTTTTTTTAATCGTTATATAACAATTTACACGCTTTTAACTGTTATGATTATCATTAGACGAGGCTGGAGAAGTCCTTCTCCTTCTCCTTCTTCTTCTTCTTCTTCGTCGTCTTCCTCCTGTTCTTATTAAATTTAAGGTAGAACGGATAACTAAAGCTGATGCTGCCACATGCGGATATTACAGCTCGATTAGTGGCCAACTAGTTCACTGTCTAACCACATTTAACACCTACATAGAACACTGACCTGCCTGGATTGCGGTTAAGAGTGTTTTCATTAAATAAAATTGTGTAAAATTCGTGAATATTTGTAAATATTTACCCGCGAGCGAATCCAACACGCAACCAAGCGCTTAACCCCCGCTGTGTTCCGCTGAAACTGATCCGGACTGAAACGGGCTACAGGAAATAAACAGTTCCCCGCAACAAAGATATCAACGACCAATACTAATGCTGCTAATACTACTACTACTACTACTACTACTACTACTACTACTACTACTACTATAATAATAATAATAATAATATATTTCATGATAAGATATTTCATGAACACGCTACAAAATAATTTGTTTATATTTAAGAGCATATCACTAATTACTTTTATTATAACTATGCTAATACGTACTATTGGCATATAATATATTGCTATTTTCTAGCAATAAATATTGTTTCTTTTATTTTTACACCTCATATGTAAAATCAATTTCTAAATATTAACATTTTTAATAATACCTTAATATTAAGAAATTCCTGACTGAGGTTCTGATTTAAAAAAAATAATTATTATTATTATTTCCAAATATTTATAATTACTTATATTTATTATAGTTATTCAGGCTGCTAGATTGTCTGCCAGTTTTAGCATACATTAAAATTTCAGTAGTATGTCTTTTCACTGACATTATTTAATTATTTTAGTCTAGTTTCGCAAGATCCTATGAGTTAAGAGTGGCTTTCTGGTCTGACACACACAATACACTTTTTTTTTTTAAATGTGAATTATGGGAGTATAAGTATATACATTTGTCACAATATGATCTTATGATCTATAGTTTGGATAACTGGGGAACAAAATGAGAGATAAAAATAACAGGAGCAATCTGAGAAAATCTGGTTTTTAGTCCTTTAATAAGCTCAACAGTTCACAAGAGAGCCATTTCATTTATACATTACAGAGGGAACAGTGGGGGTGGGTGAGTGGACAAACGCGGCTGGAAAAGCTGCTGTCAGGAGAAGAAATAAAATCAATAACAATCAGCAGGTATTCATATAATTATCTCCATCATCAGAGCCAGAATCTTTACTGTCCACCATTTATCAGCTTTTTAAAGCTTTTCATCCTGTAATGTCAGCTCTATCAGTCTCAGCTACGGAGTGCTATCAGTATTATTGCATTACATACGCACTTGAGGGAAAAGGAAAAATCTTATTGTCTGTAAGAACTACTGACGTGACTAATCTGTTTGTTTCGTGCATTTTTTAGTGTTTCTTTTGGACGATGACCATTTTAGCACAGCCATCCTACTGAGACTGATTCCATATGAAAGTGAATTGCATTCCAAAACTGCTAAAAAATGTGTAAAATGTGATTATTAGTGTGTTCTTTAGTAATTCATGCTATCCAGGGTGTTAAACATTGAGCAAATGGACAGAATGTATATATGGAAATGAGAGCAGTGACTTAAATTTGTTAGAATAATGACTAGACTGCTTAAGAAATCAGTTAATATTACACTTTTTCTCTCAGTCTGGTCAGTAGTAATAGACAGCATGTGCTACAAGCAGACAGACAGATTAAAATATTCTGTAATATCCTAAAATCTGTACACACATTCCCATTTCTGTAATATATGCCTTTCATTTCATGTTTTGTGTTCATTTACAATGACTGAAAATAATAAATAATTAATCCATTGCAGACAACAAACTATAAGAAAAGTGATGATAATGATCAAATCAATCTTTAACGGGCACAAGAACATATACACACACACACACACACGTATTTGATAAATATAACAGATATATGATCATATTTTCCTCTGCATTTTGCATCCATGTGAAATCTGTATGCTGCAATCTCTTTATAAGTTCCTCTATCTGTGCAATACATCCACATACAAAATAGTATTATAAACTCTTAAAATAAAGGTTCCACAGTGTTCTTTGCAGTAGAATGGGCTCTAATGACATAGAACCACTTTTGTTACCCTGAAGAACCATGTTGGAAACAGATATTTGGAGGTTTATGAATGTTTAAAGAGTCTTCACACAATGTAAATTAATTTAAAGGTTCTTTCTAGAACCTTTACAATATGTGGTGGTTCTTTAAACTTTGAAAAAAGGTTCTTCACAGTCACTTTTCTCATTTACAAAAATGAGCCTCTGAAGAAAGATCCATTTAAAAGGTTCTTTAGGGAACCAAAATTTTTTTCTATGGCAATGTGCAAAGAATCCTTTTCAGTACCTGTATTTTCAAAAGTACCTGAAATTATTATAAATGTTCCATTTATATTTTGAAATAAATTAACAAAATATAACAATATTTCATTTTCACAAGGGCATACAGTCCCAAATCAACTTTCAATAAACGTATATTTATTTATGTGTGTATATGTGTGTGTGTACATACACACACACACACACACACACACACACACACACACACATATATATATATATATATGTTTTTTTTTCATTTGCCAGATCACATTATGACTGTAAATATTACATCTTTGTCATAAAACCAAATATATACCTGAACCGTGCCTGTCTGTGATGGTGTCACCGACTAATGAGACCATAAAACTAAACAGAAATATCATACGGTAATATTGCACTTTATTTTAAGCTTAATTAACACCTACATCCTCAGTGTAACAGAGTTAATGCTGACATTTATAACAGAGGACTTTTATTCTAGAAGGATGTCAGAGATGGCAGCTGTGATGAGTCTTGGTCAGGAGGAAATGCTGTTAGATAAAACTGTGTTTGTGTTATCTGTGTTTATCGTGTCTACGTGATTGTGCGGCGGCCACATTTGCGACTGAATAAGCCTCAAGCAAAGCTAGCTACTAATGGCTATTGCTGTGGTCACTCCTAGCATCAGAATATCAAAGCAGCGCTTGAAAATGAAAAGCACAATAGCTCCCCACCTCATATAGTTCAATTCATATAGATATTTACATACATATATAAGCAGTAAGTACAGATGTATATGTAAATAAAGCAATGCGCTGACCTTACTTGACTGAGTTGTGCACATTTCCACATAAATAATGAATTGAATGTATTACATCGACACAATTATTGCCAAAATTGTGTTGATTTCAGGGGGAATCCTTCAATCTTCCTAGGTTCAGTGACAACAATACGTGTCTGGTGGTATTTACTAAGTACTGTACTGTAGCTATTTCATTGATTAGGGCTTCAGGAGCTGCACTGAAGGCCTTAAATGGACATGCCAGCCAAAATAAAAGCGTAACCATCACTACTATCTGATGTAAACTTTCCTACTTGTCTTCACAGTTGCCGCAGTAGTCTCTAGGGTGAGATCAAGTTTAAAGACTTCTGATGTATCTTGAAGGTGGGAAACAGGGGCTTTGATGAATACATGAGGGCTGTTAGCCAGATAGCTAACTTTACATGCTGCAGTGCCATGTTTCTACAAAGTATTTGCACCATTTCTTTCATATTTTGTGATGCATGCTGGGTATTGTAGTGAGAATCTGGGCAAGGGCAGAAAACTGATGGAAGAAAACACAAAAACGATACATACATCTTATGAGGCTAAGGTGCTGAGTGTTGTGCTACAGAATAAAAAATAACTTATGCTACTGCTAATGTTAACATGGAATTCCTCTTTAAGGTTCTAGATCTGTCACTGACTGAATATGAGTCATAGTCTAAGTAGGTTTGTGTTGGCTGTTAGGAATGGAAAACAGTGGCAGCAGCTCTATGCAGGACTCTTTACTGAAAGAGTCACTGTAAAACTGCTACAGTTCAGATATATGTTAATTACTGTTACAAGCTTCTAATAAAACATAGAATGTCTTTTACAAGCTTTAAATGTGCATGTTTAATCTAGAACGGCCAAAAAAATTCCTGTGCACTAGCATTAGCTTAGCGCTAATACACAACATTACAAATCCCATATGCTAGCATTATCATAGCAGGTTTTTTTCACATTTTCTGACAGGGTTTGGACATTTATGCCCTGAACTAAAGTCCAAACTCTAATAATCACGGTTCTTCACTGTCATCTGGAAATGATGTGCACATTTCGGTCAAGTAAACTCAGTGGATTACTTTATATATAAATTAGTAATAAACTCAAACTCCACCCTTCTGATAGTCTGTGACCCATTCACTCATCAACCAATCACTCGACAGCATCAGTTTTTCTTGGCTAATAAGATCACGCCCACCAATATGGCTCCAAGGGCGACGATGGCCCCCCCGATGATGAAAGGCTTCAAGTTCTCCAGCACTTCACACCCGAATCCTGTTCCCTCACCCCCCTCCTGCGCCCCCTCCTGGCTGTTCGCTCCATCTTCTGCTGGTTTCTCTGGTTCAGTGGACTGGGCCGGCTCTGCGGGGATGGGGTCCGGTTTAGGAGGCGCCGGGTCTTTCTTCTCTGCCTTCGGAGCCGCCTTCGACCCACATTTAGCCTTCGCTTCCATGTGGAGTGTCAGAAATCACAGAGAGCCGACCAAGGTGGATCTTTTATTCAGCGTCCCAGGATGTTTCTGCAAAGAGAGAGAGAGAGAGGAAGGTAGAGAGAGTGAGTGAGAAAGAGTAAGTAGAGAAAGAGTAGTGAGAGAGGGTGAGAGAGCATAAAGAGAGAAGAGAGGAGAAAGTGTGTGAGAGAGAGACAGAGACAGAGAGAAAGAGAGAGACAGAGAGAGAGAGTGGACAAGGAGGAGGAGGAAGGTAGAGAAAGAAAGAGAGTGAGAGGGAGGAGGAGGCGGAAGGTAGAGAGTGAGAGAAAGAGAGAGAGAGGAGGAAGGTAAAGAAAATTAGAAAGTGGAGAAAGGTATGAAGATAGAGAGAGGTGGAGAGAGAGAGAGGAGGAAGGTAAAGAAAATGAGAAAGAGAAAGAGGAGAAAGGTATAAAGGTAGAGAGAGGGGGAGAGAGAGAAGAAAGGTAAAGAGAGAAGAGAGAGGAAGGAAAGGAAGGTATGAGGGTGTAGTGAGAGAGGGGAAAGTATGACAGTATAAAGGTAAAGTGAGAGAGAGAGAACGAGAGAGACAAAGACAGAGAACATGAAGGTATTGAGGGGAAGGTATATAGGAATAAAGAGAGACAGAGAGGGAGTATAAAGTGGGCAAGTTTGAGGGTATTACGAAAGAGTGAAGGGGATATGAAGGTATAAAGAGAGAGAGAGAGAGAGAATGAGCAATAGAAAATTAAGGTATGGGGAGAGAGAGAGAGAGAGAGAGAGAGAGAGAGAGAGAGATAGAAAATTAAGGTACAGGGGGGGAGAGGGAGAGAGAGAGAGAGAGAGAGAGAGATAGAAAATTAAAGTATAGAGGGGGAGAGAGAGAGAGAGAGAGAGTTAGAAAATTAAGGTATAGAGGGGGGGGAGAGAGAGAGAGAGAGAGAGAGAGAGAGAGAGAGAGAGAGAGAGAGAGAGAGAGAGAGATTTTTAGTTGCTTTAACTGTTGTTGCCAAACACACAGATGAGTTCATGCGTGAGATCCAGCAGATCACTGAGAAAGGCAGAAACCTCAGCTCTGCTCAACTTTACTGTCACCTGACACATGCAGAAGCTCATAAGGGGAACAGAATACAGCTGTTAGCTCCACTATTATTGCACAGCCTCACTCTCACACAAAGGACAGGGTTATTTACCGACGCAACGCAGTGCAGTACAGACAGAACACAGTGCTGTTTCCACTGGACAGATGGACTTTTTTACCCCCCACTTTCAAACTGCCCTAGGGGTTTTGTGTGAAATCTCTAAATAGTGCAGATCTGCTCTTTACTGCCCAACTATCTTAGTCCAGATGATAGAAAGAGAATTATAGAATAATATACATCTAAAGTAGAACTATACCAGTGGCATCTGGATCAGTGGAAAACACCCATTTCTACTGATACTCTACCCCCCATTTCTATGGTTACACTACTTCCATTTCCATGGTTACACTACCCCTGTTTCCTTGGTTACATTACACTTGTTTCCATGGTTACACTACACCCATTTCTATGGTTACATTACACCGTTTCAATGGTTACACTATACCCATTTCCATGGTTACACATAACTCATTTCCATGGTTACACTACACCCATTTCTATGGTTACATTACACCGTTTCAATGGTTACACTATACACATTTCCATGGTTACACTACACACATTTCAATGGTTACACTACACCTGTTTCCATTGTTACGTTACACCCATTTCCTTTATTATGCCACACATTTTTCCATGACTACACTACACCCATATCCATGGTTAGCCTACACCCATGTCTGTGATTACACTAAACCCATGCCTACAGTTATACTGCAATTTCAGTGAGTTTGCTTTTTTTCTCTATCTCTATTTTCTTGGTAACACCAGAACTCCCATTCATAACTTTCATTTCTGTGGTTATACTAGAACTCCACTCATTTCCATGGTTACACTATATTTACTTTCTTGATTACGCTACACCTGTTTCCATGGTTACACCATACACTGTCCATGGTAACACTAGGTCAACACACATTTCCATGGTTACATTTCTAGGTCTACATCCACTGAGCAGATTAAGAATTCATAAAACCAACATCACGCTTCCAACTTCATGTAACTTTCCTGATCCTCACACTTCTGGAACAAAACAATGCCCTTGTCCAGATTAAACAGCAACTCAGTCAGTGAGTGTCTCTAAAATATCCTCACTCAGAGAGACTGTGACCTTGAAAAAGCAATAAAGTTCACTGCACACATAAAGCTGTGACGTGCAGTATTGTGTGTTTTTGTATTGGGGTTTTAGCCAAAGGGCAGCGGCCAGACTCTCAGCACAACATCCGGCAGAGCTGCCTGGTGGGAAAACGCATCTATCTGTGTGTGTGTGTGTGTGTGTGTGTGTGTGTGTGTGTGTGTGTGTGTGTGTGTGTGTGTATGTGGGCGTATGTATATGCAGTTATAAAGCAGACCACTGACAGAGGCAGACACAGAGAGCCTTTTGCCCCTCGACGCTCACACTCACACAGTAGCGCCTTATGCGTCACCCAAATTGTACAGCACGAGACAAAGACATGCCTTGTAGTTCAAGAATTCACAAGTGGTTCCTACAGTCTCTCTATCTTTTTTTCTCTCTCTCTCTCTCTCTCTCTCTCTCTCTCTAAAATTGCATGAGTCATGTGCTGCAAGTGGAGGAGAAGGAGGAGGAGGGGGGGGAGGAGGAGGAGGGGGAGGAGGAGGAGGGGAGGAGAGGAGGGGGGAGGGGAGGCCCAAAAATGAGGGAACGAGGGAATAAGTCAGTAAAAAGATTGTATTTTTACTACTTCATGACTTTTTGCAGTTTTATAAGTAAATTTTAATCATTTCTTGAATTTATTCAATTAATTTGTTTCTATAGTAAATCTTTATTGATGATAATGTCAATGGACATACATTGAACAGCTTTGGCAAGATTTTACAATGAGGATAATTATTGTTATCATACGTTTATAATTAAGTTCAAGATCATATTATTATTATTATTATTATTATTATTACTTGATTTGTATTCCAAATGAATTCCAAATGAATGAATTATTGAACATACAGTGCACTATTTCAGTGTACAAGCCATTATTTCATGATCCACGTAGTGCACTACACAGTGAATAAAGAGACTAATTGGGACACAGCCATTCAGATTCCGAGAGAAAAGTGGAAAAGCAAGAAAGACGGAAAGCAGGAGCCAGTAAAAATGGAGAGGATGGGTGGCTGAAATAGCTTTAGCACTATAGGCCTCAGCCACAGGACCCCTTATCCTCCTCCAGCAGACACAGCAACATGAATAAAACAGCATGCACACAGCTTACCTGCTTCTCTCTGCTGCTTTATTCCTCCACAGACTCTGTGCTGAGCTCAGAGGATTGAGTGAGAGACAGAGTGAGGGAGAGACTGAAAAGCAAGGCCCAAAAGTGTGCAGACAGGCCTCTGGGTTCGACCTCAAGGAGAAACAGAGGAAGAAGGGAAGTGGAGTGATGGAGGATGCAGCAGTCAGGGAGTGGAGGACAGAACGGAGGGCTGTACCACTCTGGCTCTAAGCGGAGGGGGAGAGTGGTTATACTGGACTGGGAGTCATGCCCAGTGTGTGGATGTGCTTGTTTGTGTACATTTTCAGTACATTGATTCATATGGGACATATTATTATGATGAACGTAGCGAAAATGTGAACTGAAAGAGCAGAACTGTTTCTTTTTTGGTTTCTGAGGTTAAGATTAGGGTTAGATTCAGGGTTAGGCTTAAAAATCCTCATTACATTTAGAGACATATTTAAAACAAATGGGACATTTTATTATTACATAGAGATCATTACATATATACTTTCATATATAAATAACACAAATGGGACAAATAATTTTAACAGGGAGGTACTCACACGTGTACATAATACATATATGGTACATTATTATCACATCTAGCTACTTACATATAGCACATATAGGACATGTCAGTATTACATTTAGCTGCTTTCATATATTTATATAACACATATGAGAAATTATTATCACATATAGCTACTTACGTATGTATAACACACATGGGACATGATACATGTAGATACTTTTATACATATAACACAAATGGGACATACTATTGTTAGATATAGATAGTAAGATATAAATTATATATATGGAGCATATTATATTACAAATAGATACATATATTTAATACATTGAACATATGTATGCCCCCATGTTCAGACACAGTATAAAAACAAGTGTATTATAAATATGGGACATTATTACATTTAGCTGTTTACACATATAAAACATATGGTACATGTATTTATCACATACAGAGACTTACCCATATTTAATACATATCTCTGCTATTGGAGCAAAAACCTCGGATCTTCATTTTTCTCGTTTTTAATATAATTTGAAAATGCCTGTTGCCCTTTACTTTGTAAGTAAATTATATGATGAATGGGCCAAAAGAAACGGCACAAAACAACTTGGAAAAAATTCTGGTTCCACTGACATACATTAAAAGTAAAGTGTGTTTTTTCCTTCTCCTGTAAAGTTACCGTTTTGGAGATATGATGTTTTGTTGCGACAGCAGCGATATGGAACATCTGTATGCCTCCATGTCTCGACACAGTATAAAAACAAACATGAGTGTGTGAGGCTGTTGAGTGATCGTGGGTGTTGCATTTGAAAAACAGACTACAAAGATCTATTTTAGACTTTAATTTGCAGTTGTAACGGCTTGTTAACTCTTCGGCAGTGTATTGGCTGGTAAAAAATACATTGTGGGTGTTGCATGAAAAAAAGGAATTTTCTCTGCATGAGCTGAACATAATAATGCTGAAAGAAAGGGACAGAGCAGGTTGTTTATTTTGTGATATTGGTAGAGAAAGCATAAAGCACTGTTTTGTATGACAACAAATTATATTTAAATTCTTATCTGTCCTATATAACAATAATAATAATAATAATAATAATAATAATAGGAATAATAAAATCCACAGGCACAAATATATTCAGTGTTTTACAGTCTGCGCTGCACTAATTCCAATTAATCGGGCCTAATTATGCTCACTTTGTGATGAAACATATAGTTAGTCAGTGCTGTTAAAGTCCTGCCGATATCTATTATATGCTCAGAAAAGCGTTTTGTGACTTATCATGATAACACTAATGTATCGTCATATTGTCCAACTCTCACAATAAAGCTTGATTTGATTTCATTTGATTTCACTAAACTTCTGGTGATAAACACCCTCTGAGAATCTTTTATCTCCTAAGCCAGGGGTCCACAACATGCAGTTTTTTTACTGCCCTGTTGCGGCTCCACAGCAGAGTTAGATTTGTAGCTAAAAATAAAATAATCCTCCTTTGCAGTAAAATAAAGCTCTGCTGATCGTTCAAAAACAGTTTTAACAATAAATGATCTTAAACTCTGGAGTTAATGTAGAACTGCTAATTCACCCTTAAACCCTGAAGGTTGGTGCACAGACTGCTGGTCACCATAGCAACACACACAGCAATCTCGCCTAGCTAGTAGCTAACGAAAAGGCAAAGAGCAAGATTTAATATGAACATTGATAATTTGGAGACAAACTGACTTGTTTGCATTTATAATCTCTCCAGCTGGGTTCCTGATATGTTTAATCTGCAACAAGAAACTGTCAGAAACTAAAAAGTTGCAAAACTGAAGTCAGCTTCTCGTTCACCAGCTTCTTGTTCTAATTTTCCTGTTCCACCTTAAATGGTGCAGTAATTACATTATTTTAAGGTAGAACTGGAAAATTCAAACAAGAACAAGAAGCTGGAGAATGAGAAGCGACTTCAGCCTCAGGAAAAAGTCAAACATTGAGAGACATTTTACAAGAAACTGTTCTACTTTTGCGGAAAAGTTTCCTGCTTAGATGGAGAAAAGCGACTATAGCTGAGCTAAAGCTTGAAGCAGAGCAAAGTAAGTCTGCGATTTCGTTTATATTTTTTAGCCTATACTAGGACATTAGCACATACTGAGAGCAGCCAAAATGGTAAAATGGACATAAAATGTTGTGGCTCCCAAGGTGGTTTGATTTTTGTTGAAAGTACAAAATGGCGTAACATTTGGGTTGCGACTCCTGGCCTACACAAACATGTTTAAGTGCATTTTTGCTTTTGCAAAGTCACATTCAACTTTATTATTGTTCCTTCTCACCACAGGTGTGTCTGTGTGTGTGTGTGTTGAATAAGAGACAAAATATGGTTTCCCCAGGACACTGCTCCAGTTAACACTGAACTGCAGCAGACAACAGTACAAACAGACAATAAAAAACAATGAACATAGATAATAAACGATATAAAATAATCTACAATAAATTACACAATCGTACAACAGTGTGCACAGCAGAGTGGGGAAAACAAAACATCTGCTAGTATTTAGCAGCAGTGAGTGTCCGTACACAAGGGTGGAGGAGTGATGAATATTTTGTGGTTTGCAAATGACATGTTGTTGTTGTTTCTCTGAGTGTAAATAAGTGAGAACATTCTTCTGTACATTTTACTACACAGTTACTGTTTATTTACTTAATTTAATGTTTATATTATATATTATATATTATATTTAATTTATATTGGGAAAAAAATTGTGGCCTGGGCTAAAGTTTTGCATACAACTGAACAGGATGATGCTGCACACGGATGGAGAAATAAACTGGAACAGCAGAAAGTTCTGTTTTTATAACACAAAAAATAAATACATCTTCATCCACTATCAGGACAAGGTGCCCCCCTATGTGATGTAAGAAGGCCCCGTGTTTGGGGGACTTCTGACCCCAAAGGTCTAAATTTATACTTTCACTTAAAATTCCTCCCAAAATCAAACATGCTGTCTTCACACCCTCCATAATCATATATTTTATTAACTTAATATAAATGCTTAGATCACTATTACATAAGGACAAAAATTACCCCAAAAAGTACCCAGGACTTTCATCTAGATGAAATTTCAGAATTAATAAGACCATAGACATTCAGTAAATGTTTTGGCTGTATCATTTGATCAGGAGAGAAAATAAGGAGGGGGGGTATTACCCTGGGGGTAAGTCACTGGCACCGTCAATACTTTTTTTTAATGTTCCCTCGCCCACTTCAGCTCGGCTGTGCGTCACACCTACACTGGACATGTGGCGACTCAAACAGCACAAACTCGCCCTTGGCAGGTTAGCGTCAGTGAACTAATCAGCTAGCCATGCAAACTTTGCAATGCAAAATTTTTTAAGAGTTTGCAAATAACGTACATAACATTTGTGAACACTTGTTTTGTCTAGCTGTAAACTTTGGTGTAGTGCATTTCTTTTTGTTGTTGTTGTTATCCATTAGCATGTTAACTAGCCAGCTATCAGAGTAAATTATCGCAGTCATGTACAACAGATGGACCAGTTTGCAACCTAAAGCCCAGCAATTTAAGGCAGTTTAGTGTTATGGCTTATAAACAACTTTATTATATATAATTATTATAATATAATTATTATTAGGTTTGAAAAGGGAAATTAATGAGATTAGCTGCTAAAGTCGACACGTGAACCTCTAAACAATACAATAAACACAGTGCGGACAATACAGTGCAATAAATATGAAAGACTTTCAATAAATACAAACACAGAACACACAGTACACAGTACTGTAGACTGTGCAAAGCAGGATGTAACATACTATTACATATTAGCAGACAGCCTAGCATATATGAACCTAGTATTCACTGAGGTAGCAACCAGAACAGTAATGGAATACAGTATTTGATTGACCAGATTTATGAATTATATTAAGTATTTCAGTGTGAAATGCAATAATTATATTTAACCACAGTACCTCAGACATAATCTGGAATATAATTAAGTATATATCCACGATAAAAGGAAAGCGTATTGGCATAACTTATCACCATAACAGTAAAATATTGGGTCATATTAGGTCATATTGCCCCCCCCCAAAAAAAAATGAATTATCCCTCTTTTATTTTGAAACCCGGGAAATGACGCCACTCCAACCCCCACTCCCGCCCCCCCCCAATCCCTCCCTCCGGGTCCGCGCGCCGGTGACGCAGGCAGCGAGCGAATGTACCGCGAGGGAGGGGCTCAGCGGGGAGGGAAGGATAACGTCACTGCGTAAAAAGCGCAGCGGCGTGAGGCGCAACGGGACACAGTGCGGATCCTAGCGCTGAGAATACAGGCGTGCAGGCTATAAATACAAATAAATAAATAAATAAATAAAGGAGGAGTGTGAGGGTACACCAGAGAGAATACAGCACACACACACGCACACGCTCTCTCGGCTCGCTCGGTGGGGTCTGCTGTCGGTCCACACACACACTCTCTCTCAGGGCTGGGCTTTTTTCCACGCAGGCTATGCGGAGGCTCTCGGTGGCAGTAAAAGGGGGAATGGGGTGGTGCTCTTTGCCCCGACAGCTCCAGCTGCTCCGGGTGGCATGAAGCGACAGTTATCTGGTGAAGGAGAAGAGGAAAAAAGGAAAAGGAGGAGGAGAAGAAAAATATCAACGCCGTTTGGGACGCAGCGGCTCCACTGACGCCTCACGCACACTGAGCCGGATCTCTCTCTCTCTCTCTCTCTCTCACGCTCTCTCTCTGGGCGTGTTGGTGCGTGCGCGCGCGTGCGTGTGCTTTAGGGTGGGGTGGGGGGGTCTGTATACTGTATAAGGGACGGCAGAAGGCCCTGTGAGTGTGTGTGAGCGTGTGTGCAGGGTGTTCAGGTTAGGGTTTGGATCCGTGGTCCCGTTTTTGGATTCGTGGAGGATGGGAGAGCGCGAGGAACAGGCAAAGCACGAGGGGCTGTGGAAGACTCCCACCTAATACAGGTAAACATGGCATTTTGAGGTTTATTTCTTTATTATTACTCTTGGTGTCGTCGAGGATGCTGGAGTACACGGTGCACATCAGCTGCTAGAGGAGTGTCAGTGCTCATTCAGTGAGAGAGAATGGGAGAGAGACATAGAGGGATAGGATGAGAGAGAGAGAGGAGGGGGGGGGGTGTTAATGCATACTGATATACTCTGAGCAGGCCTTTCATTCACAGGTGTTTTATTTATTGGTCATTCGGTGTCTATGTCTATGTTTCCAACACGCAAATTAAGCCTAGGACTAGACTAAATAGGATTTTAATTGTGACATAGCTGTATAGTCCAAGACTAAGCCTAGTCATTCTTCATCAAAGCAGCCCTTAGAGTTTATATGAGAAATAGGGATGGAGAGAGAGACATACATAGATGCAGAGAGAGAGAGAGAGGAAGGGGACACGTACTGATATACACTGAAAGCTGTCAAGTCTTTCATTCACGTTATTGGTCATTTGTAAAAGTATGTCTATGGGAGAGTGCATTGATCATTTAGGGCTGGTTGTCAACACCCAGATTAAGCCTATGCTTAGACTGAAGACGGAGAGTAAGGGGATGCATACTGATATACTCTAATAGCAGTCCAGTTCTGAGCGAGCCTTTCATTCACAGGTGTCATTGGTCATTTGAGGTCTATGTGTATGTCTATGGGAGAGTGCACTGATCATTTAGGGCTGGTGTCCAACACCCAGATTAAACCTAAGACTAGACTAAATAGGAATTTAATTGTGGCATTGCTGTTTAGTCCAAGACTAAGCCTAGTCTTTTTTCATCAAAGCGGCCCTTAAAGTTTATTTGAGGGATAAAGACGGGGAGAGAGACAAAGATAGATGGATAGAGAGAGAGGGGAAGGGGATGCATGCTGATATACACTGAAAGCTGTCCAGTCTTTCATTTACGTTATAGGTCATTTGTAAATGTATGTCTATGGCAGAGTGCATTGATTATTTAGGGCTGGTGTCCAACACCCAAATTAGACCTAAGACCAGACTAAATAGGATTTTAATTGTGCCGTAGCTGTTTAGTTCAAGACTACACCAAGTTTTTGTACATCAAAGAAGCGCTTTGAGTTTATTTGAGGTATATAAATGGGGAGAGAGTGATGGATAGATGAATAGAGAGAGGGAAAGGGGGCGCATACTGATATACTTTTATAGCTGTCCAGTTCTGAGTGAGTCTCTCATTTACAGACGTTTTATTGGTCATTTCGGGGGTCTGTGTTTACGTCTATGGAAAAGTGTATTTATCATTGAGACTAAAACAGGTTGTTGATGTAGCTGTTTAAGCTTAGTCCTTCTTCATGAAAGCCGCCCTTAGAGTATATATGAGGGACAGAGACGGGGCGAGAGACATGTATAGAGAAAGAGAGGGAGAAAGAGGATGCATACTGAGATATGCTGATAGCTGTCCAGTCTTCGTCACATGTCATTAGTCATTTGGAGTCTATAAGTTTGTCTATGGGACAGTGCATTGATCACACAGGTCCAGTTTTTAAGACCCAGATTTTGCCAAAGCCTAAACGAAATAAGATTGTAATTGTAACATAGATGTTTAGTCCAAGACTAAGCTTAGTCTGTCTTCATGAAAGCAGTCCCTAGACTTTATGTGAGGGTAGAGATGGGGAGAGAGACATAGATAGATAGATGGATAGAGAGAGAGAAAGGGAAGGGTATGCATGCTGATATACGCTAAAAGACATCCAGGCTTTCATTCATGCCATTGGTACTTTGTAAATGTATGTCTATGGTAAAGTGCATTGATTATTTAGGGCTGGTTTCCAACACCCAGATTAAGCCTTAAGCCTAAGACCTATATTAAGCCTAATTACTACAGATAGAGAGGAAGGGGATGCATACTGACACACTCCGATAGCTGTCCAGCTCTGAGCAAGCCTTTCATTCATGTCATTGGTCATTTGTGAATGTATGTCTATAGGAAAGTGCATTTATTATGTAGACTAAATGGGATTGTTCATTTTGAAGCACAACTGATATAGCTGAAAGCAGCCCTTAGAGTTGGTCTGAAAGATAGAGATGGGTAGAGAGAGAGAGGAAGGGGATGCATACTGATTTATGCTGATAGCTGTCCAGTTCTAAGCAAGCCTTTCATTCACAGGTGACACTGGTCATTTGAGGTCTTTGTGTATGATTGTGGGAAAGTGGATTGATCGTTTAGGCCCAGTTTCCAAGACCAGGATTAATCCTAGACTAAATGTGATTATTAATAGTGGAACACCACTGATACTGCTGCTTAGTCAAAAACTAAACCTAGTCTTTTTTCATGAAGCCCTTAGAGTTTATATGAAAGATACAGATGGGGAAGAGACAAATAGATGGATAGATAGATACAGACAGACAAAAAGGGAGGAATGAGACACATACTGATAGATTTAGATAGCTGACCAGTTCTGAGTGAACCTTCCATTCACTGTGTGTATATGGCAAAAATATTATATCATGATGCTTCTAGACATTTTCACAATACATGATATGCATCATAATATTTAGTTTTCTGAGATTTAGTAAGTTTGACTGATATTTCCAATCGATATTTGATGTATTTATTTCCCAGAAGAGCAGAATGTTTAGGTGTTGCTGAGTTTTATTGCACTAAAATATCTATATTTTATTCATTTTCCTGTGTCTGTAATCCAGATGAATGTTACATTTCTCTGTATGCCAATCCAGGCAGTTGTCGTCCCAATTTCCATATTTTCTAAATGTTTATGTATCTGCATCACCAGATATGTACCTGAACATTTTTTGGCGTATCACAATTCTCATATTGGTGCATCCCTAATACTGATACTCTGATAGCTGAGAAGTTCTGAGCAAGCTGTTTATTCTGAGGTCATTTGGAACGCATGTGTGCTGGTCATTTAGGTAAAAGAGAGAGAGAGAGAGGCATAGATGGATAAAGAGACATTGTGATAGTAAGGGATGCATACTGATGTACTCTGGTAGGTCTTTAGTTTTGAGCAAGCTGTCCATTTACAGGGTGTCCCTAAATATTTAGAACATACATGTATGTGTGTAGTGTAGTTGTATATATATGTGTGTGTGTGTGTGTGTGTGTGTGTGTGTGTGTGTGTGTGTGTGAGAGAAAGAGAGAGAGAGAGAGAGAGAGAGAGAGAGAGAGAGAGAGAGAGAGAAGGGTAACTAACGACGCATACTGATGCCTCTTCAGTTCAGAGCAAATCTCTCATTCATTCAGGGGGGTGACAGTGGTCATCTGTGTCAGATAGGGAGAGAGAGAGAGGGAGGAGGGGAGAGAGACATAGATAGGTAGGGAGAGGGAGAGCAAGAGAGAGGATGGATCGATGAAGAGAGCAATAGGAAAGAAGAACGCTAGAGAGAAAGACAGACAGAGAAGGAAAGAAAAAATGGGAAGACTGACATAAAGAGATAGAGAGGGAAAAGTGAAAGATGAGAGATGGATAGAGAGAAAGCAAGGGATAAAGAAATGAGTTAAAGGGGTAGATGTAGATGGGGAAAGAGAGAAAGAAATAGAGAAAGATATAGAGAGACGAGAGAGGGAAAGAATATGAAGACAGAGAAAGACAGAGAATGGATAGATGAAGAGAGCAATAGAAAAAGAGAACACTGGAGAGACAGAAGTAGAGGGGAAAGAGAGAAAGAGATGGAGAAGGAAAGAAAAAGGGAAGACTGACATGAGAGAGAAAAAAGTAAAAGATGAGAAGGATGAATAGAAAGCAAGAGATAAAAGTGAAAGAGGGGGAAGAGAATGAGATGGGGAGGGAAAGAGGGAAAGCTAGATGGAGAAAGTAAGAGATAAAGAAAGAGGAAAAGAAAAGGAGAAGATAGAGATGGAAGAGGAAGAGAACAAGGTAGATGGGGAAAGAGAAAGAAATGCAGAGAATAGTGAGGGAAAGAACCTGAAGATAAAGAGAGAAAGACAAGATAGATGAGAGAGAAATAGTGAGTGGTCAAGAAAAGGGGGATGAGCGAGAGTGAAATAGAGGGAAAGATCGATTATAGAAAGCGAGAGATAAAGAAAAAGAATGAGAATATAGAAATGGAGAGAGAGCAAGAGATGAAGAAAAGGGGGAAGAGAGCGAGATGAAGAGAGTGAAAGAGAAGATAGATGAGAGAAAGAAAAGCTGGATGAGAGAAAGAAAGAGAATGAGAAGACAGAAATGAAGAGAGAGCAAGAGATGAAAAGGGGGAAGAATGAGATGAAAAGAGAAAGATAGATGAGAAAAAGGGGAAAGATAGATGAGAGAAAGAGGGGAAAGTTGGATGAGAGAAAGAGCGAAAGATAAAAAAAAAGAAAAAAGACAGAGAAGATAGAAATGAAGAGTGAGAGATGAAAAGAATGAGATGAGAGAAAGATAGAAAGGGAAAGAGGGAAAGATAGATGAGAAAAAGAGAACATGTTAGCTGGATTGATATATGGAGTTAGAGAGAAAGAGGAGAGAGAGAGCTTACTACAGGACTGGACAATATGACTATATATAAACTTTATTGTGATAAATTATGTTACAGTACAGTATGCTTTTCTGAACATGTGCATAAGTCTGACAAAATATAGTGACATCATGTAAAAATGTCTTTGAAGTATCATGATATTTTAGCCATATCGCCCACCTCTAGGTTCCTCCATACTGATACAGTCCGTTACCCCCCTCATTATTCCAGTATTTAGTCTTTAAGACGTTCAGTTGCTGCAGACGGACTGAAAAAGCCTCCTCAGCTGTCAGCTGTGACCGTCAGACTGCATGTTGACCGTCGCTGTGACGCATGTGGAGCTGCTCCTGCAGCATGTTACAGAATCGGGCAGATGCACAAACACTCAGAAGTGCTGGAGACAGAGACGGATATGCAAAAGCTTTCACACTGACACATTAGCGTTAGCGTCTAGCTTGCGGTTGTGATGTTAGATGGGTTTAATGGAAGTGATGCAGCTTTTCTCCACAGGGACTCAGGAGTGCATTTATGATGATG